CGCAAATCGAAATAGTGTTACACGTTTTTTGTGGATATTTTCTCAGTGACAGCAAACCATTCAAAGAAGATTAAGTAGATGTGTAGGCTCGTCAAAAATGAAAGCGTTAAGAAATATATACGATATTTGGAATGGACTGTGCAAGATGTGAGGAATCGTCACATCTTTCTGGCCTGTGGCAGAAGTACTATGCTGTCTGGCCGCATGGAACTCTGGGTAGGAGAGTGGTTTCAAACGTGCGTTGCCGCCATCTGCTGTTACACACATGTGCTGCCACCCTCTGCTGTTACAGACGTGTGCTGTCACCCTCAGCTACTATAAACGAGTTCCACCACCCTCTGCTGTTACAAACGTTTACTGCAAACCTCTGATGTTGCATAAATGTGCTGCCACCCTCTGTTGCTACACACGTGTGCTGCCACCGCCCGCCATTACATACGTGTGCTGCCACTCTCTGCTGTTACAAACTTACATACCTTTAGTTACTGTGTTGCCACCGTCCGCTGTTACAAGAGTGTGCGGCCACCCTCTGTTGTAGCAAAAATGTCCTGTCACCCTCAACATTTACACAAATGTGCAGCATCCCTTCGGTTTAACGAACGGATGTACAGCCAACCAACCGCAGTCACTGGTAGTAATGCCTTTACCTGTAGTCACCTGTAACGACAACCCTAATTCAGGTTACCTGCAGGCGAGTTAAACGTGACTGAAGATGGACGAGAACATAAGTCATTACTTATACAGACGGAGCAAATGCCTCGTTCCAAGCCAAGACAAGGTAAGACCCGTGTTTAGTAAAAAAAAAAACAGTGATTGTAAACTTAGGTTGTCTTTACTTACAAGAACTTATTAAACTCGCCATTCCCAAACATTAAATGGAAGGCTTTACTCGTTTTACGTCCATGAATTCCCGGCAGAAATACAACTGCACGAACTGATTGGCATATTTATTTAACAAAATAGTTCCGGTATTTTTACTTTAACCACAGAATTACAACGTGCCCCCTTACAGCGAAACAGTGGCTCTGGTTAAAACCCACTCTCGTGTTCTTCCCCTAGGACATTTGTAGTGAAGGATTAAAGTCATATCAGCAGGGTTGTGCTCGCTAAACAGTGCAATGACGTCATTGGCCACTTTCAGGAACAAGTGTCAGATCCGGGGAAGTAAATAGCCCGAGCCTGTATGAGCTCGAATGGGTAGCATCGAATTAGTTTTATGAACTTTGAGATGAAACTTTCGTTTTCGACTCAATTGCATTTTCTACTTTACCATTTAGAGTAGAGTGGGACTTAATGTTGCGAAACGCTTCGCTGAGGTATTCTTTATGTCCATTGGAGTTTTTACCAGGCGAACATGTGACTGGATGCCAAACAGATGGCCAATACAATGGAGGTGTGATCAGACACAATGGGTTGTTATAGGACCACACCAAATGACCAAATCCCCCTCCCCCTTTAAAAGCACTCAATTTGGATCCTGGTCCTTTCTCTGTGTGAAGTCAATACAGTACTTCACGATTCACATTTTTGTACGGAAATAAGTTGAACATAAATTAATAAATCTTTAAAATGTTGTTCAAAGTACAACTGTTGTTTCTTATTTTGTTTCTTCTAGATACGCCGCCTCCGTGGTGTAGTGGTTAGAGCGTCCGCCCGGAGAGCGGAAAGTCGCGGGTTCGATCCCCGGCCGCGTCATACCAAAAGACGTTAAAATATGGTACTTGTTGGTCGCTGCCTGGCGCTCGGTATTAATGGGTACAACAAGGACTGGTCGGCTCAGAGTCAGTATAATGTCTCTGAGTGGGGTATTCATGCTTCACTGCGGCATGGTATCTCAGTGAGCTAGCACTATAAAACCAGTCTGGGCCAGTACCGACCAGTCAGACCAGCTCCGGCCACAATAGTGGACAGCGAACCATGTGAGATAGGTGTCTACACCATGCACCTTTCCTTAAACCTCAGTTCCAGCAGTGGCAGATCTTAAATTGCAAATGAACCTCAGCATTCTTCTTCCGAAATTACCTGATACAGTTATCTCTGAGTATCCACACATGGCCTCACAAAATGAAATGATGTTGGCTTCAAATATTCCAAGCTTTCTCCTTAACACAATCAAGGACAAATCATTTGAGACAACAATATACACAAAATATGACACAATATGAGATAAACGTCCTAATATGAGATCAAATGTTTGATTACTTGAAGGCAAGGTCTATGAAAGTTGGACAAATAATTTTAGAAAGCAAACCACACAGTTCAAAGCCAAAATCTTCTGCCCTCCCACCGTCCTTCAGTGATGTTAACCATATGGAATAGACAGGAGCAAGGATGGAAAGTTAAGGATGCAAGGATCAATTGTTGGTTCAAAACATAACCATCACAAAGAAGGGATTTTTTTCAATGTGTAGGATAAAGTGCAGCAAAGGTTGTGATTCTTTACCTCATGACTGGATTTTGAGGTCAATGCATTGACCACACCCGGAGATGTGGTTCTGGTCAGCAGGAACTCAGTCTTTTAAAGGAAGGCCATCTGGCCACTGCACCGACGTTTATGTGCAGTGATGCAGCATTCTGTTTGCTGATCAATACCAGTCTACTCCCACGCGAAAGCGTCAATGTGTGATTTTTCATCAAAATGTAAATATAAAATTTTAGATTATGCTATGAATTTAATGCTACACATTGTCAGTGGCACAAAATCATTATACTAGGCGGCATGGTGTCGTGGCTCGTAGCTTCCACCACGTCTTGCTGGTTATCTTGACCACCAGGTAACCCCATGATTCGACCAAGAATATTCAGAGGTGTTATTAAAAGTAATTGTAAAATTCTTTGGAATAGGCCTGTGCATTGCCTCAGACGTATTCGGGTAAAAACAGACACCTAACGTTGTCATTTTTTATAAATTCATTAAAATATATTATTACTGAATTCTCTCCGTTTTGACAGAAGTGTGACTGACAAGATTCAAAATAAGATTCAAGAAGAACGTGGCAAATGTGCAGACCTCGCGTACAAAAAGTCTCGCTTTCATTCCAAATACCAAGTTGTCCGACTAGCCATTGTTCTCGGTACCAAATATCTATGTTTTTTCGAATAATTGGCATTGCAGACTTCTGACATCGATCTGCATACAATATAGACTTAGCTGGCATGTAGCAAGCCCATATTTTCGTGTAAGCCCGATAGGTTACAAAGCTATACATTTAGATAGTATTGAGAGCTTGCAAGCTTCCATTTTCAAAATCATGTGTACGCCCGGTCTTTATTTCATAATGGTAGCTACGCCCCTGCATGTAGACCTGGATCAATGAAACTTCTTGTCGCTGAAACGATTCTGCTTTTCCAACCAATTAACTCCATTATTGTCTGTATGTGAGTGAGTGAGTGAGTTAAGATTTAAAGTCACATCGGCAATATTTCAGCCATATCGTGACTAAAACTAATTCTAAAATTAATACATTACTTCCTTAAGTGGCATTTAGCATACATATAATATATAAAACATACATGTAATATATAAAACCCTGTCAACGAAGGACAGTAAACCCACTAGATTACCACAGAATGAGTTAAAACTAGCTAGCATATATCTTTAAAAGCAGAACATTATTTTTGGACAATACAATGTAAAACTAGGCTATAGATCGCCAACAACTGAAGGTAGATCACCATACTAGGGACCATGGGGGCTTACAGTGCCTTTGCTACCTGCATGGACCTTACCTGGTTTTACACCATCCCCTCAGCCACTGGCGATTGTAGGAAAATTTAGCCGAAAATTAAAATTAAAATAACAGAAATGTATGTATGTATGTATGTATGTATGTATGTATGTATGTATGTATGTATGTATGTATGTCAGTGTGTGTCTGTCTGTCTGTCTGTATGTCTGTGCATGCTAGCGTGCATGTATGTCTGTATGTATGTCTGTATGTATGTATGTGTATGCATGTATGTATGTATGTATGTATGTATGTATCTATCTATCTATCTATCTATCTATGTGTGTATCTGTGTGTATGCCTGTGCATGCTAGCGTGCATGTATGTATACATGTATGTCTGTATGTCACACACATACATATATGTGATATATTATTCGAAGTGGACGAGTGCATGCTATGGATACGTGTAAGTTTCAATTTACTGTGCATTAATTGCCGGCTTTAGAGGCCATCAGTGGGATATATCAGTTCGCTTTAATTGAACTTGTAAGCCGATATTGACAAAGTCCTGTCACATTGCCAAGGGCTATCAATCATATTCGCTCCAGTTGACATATATAGACTTGTGTTTCACTCAGGCCGTATATTGCAAGACAAAGCACTGCTGGATCAAGCACAAACAAAGGGACACATACGCATACATGAGTACTTGTGTTCTGGTATGCGTGTGTGTGTGTGTGTGTGCGAGAGAGAGAGAGAGAGAGAGAGAGAGAGAGAGAGAGAGAGAGAGAGAGAGAGAGAGAGAGAGAGAGAGAGAGAGAGAGAGAGAGAGAGGTGGGAAGCTTTTCTGAAATCATGTGTCTAACATAATCAGTAAATCGAAATATTGCTTTCAAATATTAACGAACCACTTTGGCATTCCCCGTATTCCACGGACCAGATAGGCCATGAAATAATTGAAATAGTGTAAAACAGAGTTAGGTCTCCACTAACATCATCTACAAGGCCATGTACGTCTCCATCGTTATCTACATCTACATCAATAGGACAACAAACAGCAGCATGCACTGGTCGGACGAGAACAGGCCTCGCACCTGCAAAATCTTGCGCACGAACTCATCAAATATCCAACATCGAATCTTGAAGAAGTGAGGATGTATTTTTCTGCATATAGATGCCAAGCTGTTTTTCTGAGAAGGAAGATGCTGAGTCTGGAACGGCTGCAGCGGCTTGGTCCAACATCCAGCTGACTGTAGGATGCTCCAAGACCATCTCTGTCTATCGACCGCCAGCCACACAGCTCCGCGTTCTGCCAGCCTCTGCAACGAATACAATACGTAGAGTCAACAGAGCGAGGCGCTGCTTCGTGGGTTCATTTGAGACGCTGAGTCCGTCAGGGTTGGTCGCAAAACTACTGCCGCGCTGTGGCAACGACGTTGGAGTTGTTGGAAACTACATAGTGCTGGAACAACGTCAACAGTGTACTGGGAGATGTACGTCTGACACAAGCCAGGTGTGTTTGACAGGAAAGGTTTATTGGAATACGCAACAGACAAATATTCCCGGATGCCTACATGGTAAGTATACCATTGTTCAAAACCATTAGTTCCGTTAGGCTTTGTTTGATTCGGTACATCGATATTCTTTAACGTTAAACCGATCGCTGATTTAAAAGAACTTAGTTCTTTTGTCTATGAATGAAATTCTCCTTACATATAGGTGATTTTTTGTCATTTGAACTCCAGCTCAAATCCATACTTTCTCGGCATTAGAGAATATAGTAACAGACCTTGGGGCGTGGTTGGATCATGGATCTGCACGTGCTTAGTGAAGAACTAGGTCACCAGGTATATGTTTCTGGTGGAAATGAGTTGTGAAGACAGAACGCTGGCACCTACACCCCCTCTGATTGTGAGTGACGGTGGAGTATATACACACACACCTCACCACTGTAAACACACAGGCTGTGTTTAGACCCAATACGCTCTGAGCAACACTGTATACTTTTAACTGTACCACATTAAGGAACTATTGGGCGAGGCTTTGTTGTCTAAATTTGCAACATGGCCAATATAGAGTTAATGGAAGACACAGATGCTCTCAGTAAGTTAATACCGTTTTTAGTTATCACTGCCATGGCGTATTGCCAATATATTCTGCATATATGGCAACTATAATAGGACCAGCTGGTTTAGAGTTCAGAAAACGTTAGAACATATCTAAAAACAAACGTTGACATGAGCCCCAGTGTGTATGTCAGAAATTGACGCTCAAATGACTATATACTGAGTATGGCAATCCTCATCCCTTGAACAGCGCTGGCCGCATGCAATCCTCATCCTCATCCGAATCCTCTAACACTTCCACCCCAACCCCCATCCCCACATACACACCCCTTTCCCACCTTCACAATATCTTAAATCCTAACTGAACTCTCGGTCAAACGAAAAGAAGTCACTTCAGGACTTAGGTACCGTGTACATCATTCTTGTTATCCGTCTCTGGTCTATGTCGAGTAGCGTACAGTTAATCCGATTATTGCTCCCCATACTGAATGGCGGCCGTTGCCATTCTTTTATCTCTTTCAGAAACCTTGATAATTTGACTTCAGAGCTGTGACAATGTATATGTACGGGAAAAGCGTCGTTACGAAGTTCTTATAAAAGTTATATATTTATTTCCATGATTATACCATTTTCCGAGACCATTCGAGTGTTTATATTCTCGACGTTTCTTGAAACGGTTTAAACTTCATGCTTCTATATGATCAGCTCTGGTCATCTGGTTTGAGTAGTTCGGTCTTCTTAATTAACTGAACAATACCATCTCGGAATTTAACTCACCGGTATCTCTCCATCACTGTTCCAGTTCATGGGTAGCCCCATTGTGAGGCTTTGTCGTAATGCAGTAACGATGTTCTCAGAGAATCCGATACGATCTGGAGCCTCATTACAACGCCGACGCTGTCACGGCTACTGAATCAGGTTCTGTTGTAAATGAGAGACAATGTGTTTATTTACCTTGTATTTACCCTTTACCCTCTGTGGACAGAACTAGATGAAAGCCATTAAGCCGAAGCATTGTAAGGGAGGACGCACGTACCCTGGTCAGGAGTCCGTAGCGTTACTGATGGCATGTGTATAATGATATACTGACAATCATAATGATCATGTGTATAATGATAATAGTCACAATCATAATGGTCATGTGTATAATGATATACTGACAATCATAATGATCATGTGTATAATGATATACTGACAATCATAATGATCATGTGTATAATGATAATAGTCACAATCATAATGATCATGTGTATAATGATAATAGTCACAATCATAATGATCATGTGTATAATGATATACTGACAATCATAATGATCATGTGTATAATGATAATAGTCACAATCATAATGATCATGTGTATAATGATAATAGTCACAATCATAATGATCATGTGTATAATGATATACTGATAATCATAATGATCATGTGTATAATTATAATAGTCACAATCATAATGATCATGTGTATAATGATAATAGTCACAATCATAATGATCATGTGTATAATGATATACTGACAATCATTATGATCATGTGTATAATGATAATAGTCACAATCATAATGATCATGTGTATAATGATATACTGACAATCATAATGATCATGTGTATAATGATAATAGTCACAATCATAATGATCATGTGTATAATGATATTCTGACAAACATAATGATCATGTGTATAATGATAATAGTCACAATCATAATGATCATGTGTATAATGATATACTGACAATCATAATGATCATGTGTATAATGATATACTGACAATCATAATGATCATGTGTATAATGATAATAGTCACAATCATAATGATCATGTGTATAATGATATACTGACAATCATAATGATCATGTGTATAATGATAATAGTCACAATCATAATGATCATGTGTATAATGATAATAGTCACAATCATAATGATCATTTGTATGATGATACTAACAGTCAATCATAATCATAACAATCGTATTTGGGTGCTAGGTATTAGCTAAAGCGGTCGCTCGTCACTCGAAGGATGAATTTAGGTAACGTGTGAAGCCTATTTCTGGGGCCAACCATCGTGAGATTGCTCCAGTATTGCGGCATAAAACCCTATTCAGTCACAAATATATATGTCAATCAAAGAAATACTTCCAGCCATCCATCTAAGCTTGAATATTCATTTCAGCAGATTGTAAGTCAGGAATGCATCCACATGGTCCATGTAAATTAAATAAACGGCAAAGCTCTTTGAATATTTACATCAGATCTCAGTTAAAATTGAGTCGGTGGTCGGATTCCGACTAGATCAGAGGCAGGTTTATATGACTCACTGTAAAATAGTGATGGTTCCAGATGTTCGCGATAAGGTGAACTTTTTACACACAGTGTTTGAAGTCGCACACCAAACGCTAAACTATTACAGACAATCCCAGGCTGTTACATTCCCAGTAGAGCTGTATTATACCGAAATCGTCAATGTAAGTCATTGATAGCATTAGTCAATGTTCCTCGTCATATGTGCCTCGGTTTATTTAATTATTTATATATCTATCCATTTATCTTTCAATCTATTCATCCATCCGTTCATTCATTCATTCATTCTTTCATTTTTGGAGAAGGGGTGCGACGTTTATACTCAAGAAATATTATATTGGGACGTTGAACAGGTCATTTTCATCCTGAAAGGTGCGTGCATTCACAAGACGTGATTCACATTCGTTAAAGGCGGCCTATGCTCGGTCAAACTGGCAGGCCGATCATGTAGTCTGAGTTTGGTTTTACGCCGCTTTTAGCAATATTCCAGCAACATCACGGCGAGGGACACCAGAAATGGGCTTCACACATTGTACCCATGTGGGGAATCGAACCCGGGTATTCGGCGTGACGAGCCACCGCTTTAACCACTAGGCTACCCCACCGCCCCTCCGATCATGTAGGATGGCGTTGTTTTAACACTGATTCTGTTGTTGGTTCGCTAGTATTTTGTTATGCATATCAATCCACATGAAAACCTTGTACCAGTAACACACAAATCATTAATTACCACCTCAGCTCTATGAATAAAGGGACTGGACCATGGTATGACATGCTATCCTAGTAAGTACGGGGAACAGCGGGGTAGTCCATTGAAAGCGTTCTTTCGTCACGCCAAAGCCCCGGTGTAGCAGCCCAGAATACCCCCCCCACACACACACACACACCAGATTATACCCCGGGGTAAACTATAGGTTAGCCCAGTTTATACCACGGGGGTATATTCTGGACCAGGCCAAAGTATACCCCTTCATCCCAGACTATACCCTTAAAAAATTATGTTGACAATTCACTCAATATGAGTGTGTGACTCGGGCAATGGTCTTGGTGTCATTTAAAGGAATTTGTAGGTGCTTTTCATTTACATTACTGCATAATACAAAATGTATAAAGTATTTGTTGAGTGCCTCTCTGCAATATGATATTTTCGACTTTGCGTAACCCAGCCATGCTGATATATCAAGGTTAGTAGTTAGTTATTTGCTTTATTTAGCGTCGCACACACAACTAAGGTAGTTTGGCAACGGGGTAGTACAACATGAACAGATTAACTACGGGCACACTCTACTCATCAATCTAATTAGAGCTGTACCATTATGGAGGTGGGTGTTGTCTTCATTAATACCGTAATCCACTGTTCTTTTCCCCGCATGGGTACAATGTATGAAACCTATTTCTGATGTCCCCCGCCACGGTATTGCTAGAATATTGCTAGAAATGGCGAAAACTATACTCACTGTACGAGGAAATGTCTTGAAATGCAAGAAACACTTATTTTGAAACAAATTATACAATTACTAATCTAACGCAAGAACAGGACACACAGAATGTAACGTATTTATATCCATTCATTGAGGAGATAAACGTACTGTGTTTGAAAATTATATGAATGTTAGACCGAATTGATTGCCTAGCTTGAGGTTTCAAATGATTAATTTTGAGACTTAGTTATTTTCTTAATAGTAGTTGGGCGGTGGGGTAGCCTAGTGGTTAAAGCGTTGGCTCGTCACGCCATAGACCCGGGTTCGAATCCCCACATGGGTACAATGTGTGAAGCCCATTTATGGTGTCCCCCGCCGTGATGTTGCTGGAATATTGCTAAAAGCGGCGTAAAAACCAAACTCACTCAGTCAGTCAGTCTTAATAGTAGTTGTTGAAATTTGGAAAGAGGCAGACAAGCCAGTATTTATATTTGGCGAAAGATTGAAATTTGAAGTGACAGTGAAAGAAAATACTTGACTGACTGTTGAATCTGATCCCTGCAGAATCGAACGATCCATCGACCTACGAATCAGTGTTGTAACTCATTAGGGACTGTTGATTTCAATGACTGGTGAGTTTCGATCATTGTAATTCAATTTGAATATTCTTTTAATAAAAGGTAATATGATAGTGACGTTCCATAATAATTGTGGAGGAAATATTACATAATTGCATATTTCGAGTTTCAATAAATGTTTTATTATCAACATTTCCATCACGTCTGTTGCGTTGATG